CCAGCCACTCTCAGAGCATACCGCTCGGAGTACTCACGGCTGTCAGCGCAATATCACTCGCTCTAATGAGCAATTGGTAATAAGTATCGACCAAGTCGAGTGCGCTGTACTTTGTACAGCCAACCATATTGTTCCCGGAGAACATTCTTTATAGATATTTGCGTCTGTGCCGGAAGGTGTCATCCATTGTCACGCTCACCGCTTCTTTAAAAAGACGGATGCACACAAACGACTCCCATCCTGGCCACGCCAATGCGGAGGCCTCCATAAAGTCGGTCACTGCGACCGCCTCGGGGAGAGGATCAGCTGCCATCACGGCAATGAGAGTTCGCAACTTTTGGACTAAGTCCAACAACTCCTTCTTGCTCTGTCGGGCGGCAAGGAGCACGATTGCACGTAGTATGCGTGGTTGGGCAGCGAGAACACTCACAGAAGCTGACGCTTAATCTCCTACCAAAAGTAGAACGCTGCTTCAACCGATGCACCGCACGTTAGTACCCATTTTTGCGCTCGGCTCCCGAGCTTGGAGATAGCTAGCGCCACGCGCTGTTACTCGTTTCGGAGCATGGCGGATGCCATAACTATCTTAGCCTCTCTTACACATAGCAGAAGAATCTCTCCATCCTTACCCTCGGAGGTCTTAACGCTCATCATGAGCGACCTGGGTCAGAAAGAGTCATCCTTCGTCGACGGTGGCTTCATGGATGCAGTCGACGCTGACACCATCTGCTGTAGGTGCTCTAACAGAGCATTTTTCATGACTCGAAAACGCCTTTAGACGCGCGTATATCACGTGAAGATCTTGCAAAACAAGGTCTTTCACGCCCTCAGGGCCAAGCAGGTACATAAGCTTAATAAGCCCGTCCTGCATGCCCTGGGGCAAATAGGAGTATTGCTTCATCCTCACAGAGGATCGACTCAGGCGTAGATTGACTATGAGTGCTATAATAGTGCCAGTATGAGTGTAGCGGATCGCAATCCGCTGCCTCCAAGAGTACCTAACATCTTAACCAAGGGAAAGTGACTCTTCCGTTATAAAATAAAATTGTATTTAATTGCTTTAGTTGCAGCAGAGCCGCCAGTATATAAAACCTTAATATTTCCTTATAGATGTACTAATACCTAATTAGTATTGTAAACCTAATTAATTTGCATTACTACTGGCAATCCTGCCACGTAGTGGCTTCTAGTTACGGTGTAGCCACACCATTGTGTGAATACGTCAAATTGTGAAATCCACACCTATGTACGGCCACACAATCTTGTCTGACCCGCTCTTTCATACAAAAGTACGTGTTACCCGTTACAATACCGCTCTATCTAGTGCGTAGCGTGGGGCTTATAGCTAAATCTCTTGAACTAAACTCTGGCATAAATACCAAGCAGCTCTAACTTTATCCTAGCACGTTTTGAAGAACAGAGCAAAAGTAGACGTCAAACTATGGCATTTTCGGATCCTCTACTCTGCAAAGTACAAAGCGCGCTGTGAACTGTGAATACCTAGACGAATGCTAACCACCTTCACTTCTTGCTGAATAAATCCCTGCTCATTTCCATGCGCATGCCGATGTAGCTACCGGTTGAGTCTTGAACTTGTACAAATGCCGGTGTCCGATTCTACGTGAAAATATTCGTGACGCTCCACGATCTTTCTTTTATCTTGAAGGTGGAGACTCGGGGTTTGCGTAATCTGACGCGCCTTCGGCGCCAGTGCGGACTAACTAACGTAAAGTCTTTACTCACATGATTTATGTAGTAAGTACGTTCCATTCACTTATCAAGAAACCGGTTGCAGCCCTAGTGTACATCATCCCCTGCTCATAGAGAAGAGCCGAAGGAGGACATTCGTTACGTAGATGGCTTCCGAAAGCTATCTTATTTACAACAACACGTCGACACTCACAAAATTCTTCTGGATTTGGGAGACCGACGTGCATCGTTGTTCAGATGCGCTCATTGAGCTAATTGAAGCAAATTTATGGTTAAAGGCGCTAAAAACGGATCAGAGTCAAAGGATATTATATAGCAGGATGTTGCTCGACAATAATGGATAGAAAAAGTATAATTTTGACCTAAATAGAATGCTTCTCATCTAAATGGCTCGCGAGAGCGACTTGTGAATCGACTTTCGATGGGCCGTGTCGAACACAAGATGTGCTCGCATTTCTTCGATGATGTTACTCGACCCCTTTCGAACTACAATTGACAACCAGCTTGATGTAGCGAGGTCGCAACTTTGTTTTTTATATGCCGATACTAGAAGTGTAGGTCTGTTGATAAGTTTGAATTGAGCCTTTTAGTACAATTCATAGTCATACGTGGTACCTCGGACTCTAGCATCTGCATGTTAATTTTGTGCAACCTCAATTCCAGTTATAGTATCGCATGCTAAATTCATGCGGCTCAATTCTTTGTGGCAAGTCTTTGCTATCGGTAATGACAATAACCTTATTGTCCAACCTTTTGCTTACAATGACTGGATCTATTTCGTCATGGTGCTAAAAAGACGGGATTGTTAACTAAAACATTTTTCCATTGCAGATAAAGTCTCTACCGTTTTATACTCCACTTTTGATGTGCAAAGCAATGATTGGGGACAAAAGGCTTCGGAGCCTCAGGCTGTTTGCAAAAGTGTCCAGAGGATACCTCCACTACGTCACGAAAGTTAAGCTTTATGTGTGATCATTTGTCCGGAGACCGCTGTGGACATGATCTATCTGTTACCCGGCAAATCGAAAAGACTTCAGCAAAAGACAGTCCTGGAAAAACAGAGCATAATCTACAACCATGGCAATCAGCCAGCCATGGTTGCAGATTTGCTTTGGATAAGCAGCTTAGCGAGCTCAACGCTGGTAATATTATGGCTAATAGCAGCGGTACGTGATATTTTTTGCATACGGCCCACGAGCCACAACATCTCATACTACTATACGCGTCCTTACAAAAAAATGCTTGTGATAAGATTGCATACATTTATATATTTAAAGCCACCCATACACAGCGGGTTCCACACCAGACTTTTCTTTCAACCGGCGTGATCTTCAGAGGGGCTACATGTGCCTCCTGCGGTATTCGTCGTAAAAGACTCTCAGCATTACATACAAACACGCGCTGGATGTCAACTGGACCAGTGTAGTAATACAGTAAGCCTCGAAGAAAGGAACAGCTGTACGAACGCGGTAGCAAATGCTTTGGCAGAGCAACCAACGAATACAAGATTGCCGCTTCTAGCAACTTTCAACAATACGGAGTTTTCTGTATTCCACTTGTAAGCCGTATGTAGGGCTCGTTGATTCGCGATGTTTCCATCGTGACATGTATCACTATTACAGTCTTGTGGACGCGACAACGCATACGTCACCAAATCAAGCGAAACTAATATAAATGTTTCCTCAAATATATACAAAGAATTATCACAATATTACCATTAATTGCAAGTAATGTGGCGATTATGCTGCTATTCGTAACGATGCCTGATCTATATATATACCGAATGGCTTTAAATCAAACGAGTTTATATAAGCATGGCGAGAGCCTACATCATAGCAAGTTGATTCAAACCGGACAAATACTATTTTGTTTCGGGCTGACAAAATCTATGTGCAATATTGCGCTCATGCAAATTTTATGTGATTGGAGTAAAGATTAACCGGTAGTAAGGACCAAGTCGTCATACCACATGAACTCGACGAATCGGATTTAAGATGGAAAAGAAGAGTGTACTTATTGGACTTGCCATCACAACTATTGAGGTCATGTTTCTTTCGTGCCTCTCCACCATCAAACATCTCATTTCAAATAATGGGTAAGAGTCCTGCTATGTCGACGTGATTTGCGCCAGATTTGTTCAGGTCGCCGGCTTAACAACTGTTTCCAGTCCCTTGGGGATATCGACAGCGACAATCTACAATGATCTTAACCTTCTGGGATCTGCTCTATGGACATGCTTCTTTGTGTAGCATCTAGAGAAAGGTATTCGTTGGAGCGAGAGAAGCTTTTGTCTATGCTGGTAAACAGCTTGTTTTTAGCGCACGCACTTACGAGCTGCTCGCAAGATTATGATGAAGGACCCCACGATCGGTTTTTCGTGTTATTGGTGACTATAAATAGGGATATCGATGTATAACTCTATACGTAGGCACGATGCAGTATTTGGGGAGTGATCACCTACTCTTTCAACATTTCTCTTGCAATTATCAGTGACACCATGATGTTGTACAGCTTGTTTTTGCTAGTAATTACTGGTCAATCTACAATGATGACTGTCTATATCAAATCATGTAGAATTTGCCACGAAGTTTTAGTCTCTTTGACGCAGGAAGGTGTCATCAAGTAAGGAATTGTAGTATCCGACGAGCTCGATTTGTGTTTAGTACGGCATAAAGTCTCTACGACAGCAGAATATTCATTCAATCAGTATTTTGTTTTTAGTGACCAAGTCAGTTGCAAGATGTACATTTATCTCTGGATGCTACACGCGTGATGAGCCTCGCGTCAACGCGTCATGATATTTTTTCAGCGGACAAAAGAAGATCTTCCGGAGTTATTGAGAATAGCCGTACTCTCTGCGCTCCGCGAGTGTCCCAAAAAGTAATTTACCATGAGCTTGCTCATTCTCCAATAGTAAAATATTTATTTTTGATTCCACCGTCATGCATCTATCTGCACACACCCAAGAATTAATGCTTCAAGTTCAATAAGCGGCTCGATCTGGGGTCACAAGGGAAATTATTATCCCTTCGCTCTTCTTCTATTGCTTCTTCACGAGTGAAAATACGTTACCCGGCCACAGTCGTGAGACTTTATTGCTTCACACAGTGGAAGCGCACAATATTGCTAACTTAATAGTATCGCTATATTGCTAAAAAACTTTTTATCACTTACGGATCTGATCATTTTACTCGGGATCTACAGCCGCCTGTCTTCACAGGCCTTTTCGCGGACTTAGCTGCTCCGACTCGCTTCTGCAGGGCCAATTTTAGAAAACTGCAAAAAATTGCATTCATCTGTCTCACACGAACCCCTTGATGGCAAGCAGCTTGGCGATCTGTCTATGAAATACATTTTTCAATCCATATTCATTCTAGGTGCACTCTCTGCTTTCAAAAGGAAGCTACGAGTACTTAAATCTCGTCGCTCACAAGTTTAGAGATTCTCATGACCAGTAGCAAAACCATAACAGCTCCATGACCTGCGCAAAAGCCGTTCTGGTTATCAATTAAAGATGCGTTCGCGAATAAACATAGCTCACCAAAAGAGAAAGCAGCTGCATATAATGTTTCATCTTGTAGCCGACAATCTACAACTCATGGTATTCTGACAACGCACTTTACAAAATGAGAAGATTTCCTATACTCAGATTTATCCCTGCCAAATTTCCCAAAAATCGCAAGAAACGAAGCGGACTTTAGGTACTTAAAATTATTTGCTCGTCGCAAGACACCGAGATATGACGTCTTATTCTGCACCTTCGACTGAGCTGCGTACTGTGTCTAGTGTTTTCGACAGTCGCGCACCGTGCATGATTGCACGGACGCTTATATCATCATAAGGGTTTTCCACGACCACAAAAACCCGAGACGACCACGATGCCCGAGCTGTAAGTTTCATTTTTTCAGTTATTGAGTCGCTTATTTAAAGGATGGTTCTCAAAGATCTCGGCACCATCGCGGTACAAACTTGCCGAATATTTATATGAGTTCTTATGCGCAAGGTTTATCGAATGATCTTGCGTCGGAGTTCGACCCTTCGCACCTGTAGTGGGCCAGGTCTTATTCGACACGCTGGGTTGACCACATACTGTTTGTCTGACATCAGCTGTACCCTGTATGGCTGTATAATAAATGTCACTTCATCTTTCCGAAGTAGTCGGCGTTGGAATGACTTCTAGTGCTTTCAAGTGTAACGGGAACTGTCCGTTATTGTAAACATACATTAGCGTGGTGACTATTCATAGAAAGCTCACTGTTACGGTAATCATCAATTTGGTCACATCCACCGAGATTATCCACGTGCGAAACAAATCTCTCGATTACGGTTCTCGCTGTAATGGTCCCGGGTGGCGCGATACCAATACCACGAGGCATTCGGAAAACGCCAAAACGCATTAGCTGCAGGGTGGTCTACCGGGGTAGTTATAAGCTCTTGTGAGTGTGGTGGTAGAGCCACAACAAATGAGGGCTAAGCCCTCGGGTCGTTGTCTTTCCAAGCCGAAGTGGTCTCCTCGTGGGCACAGCGAGTGTGAAGGGTTACGGTTGTTCGCTCAGAGCCTTGATTGGCTGGCGTGCCGCCTAACAACGCGCAGAAGCAAAGTGTTGCTTGGAACAATTTCGTGCTTTTGGATGCACTAAATAGAAGCAATGGCTTTATCTCACTGAAGTTGGCCACTGGCGCGGTTGTCACCGCGAAGAAAATTATGATTGGTCTTGAACTGAAGTTTATGACAATGTTTGAAGAAATAAGCCCACATTCACTATGCGCCAGAAGGAGCGCAGAAGTGGTATGCTGCTGATAATGATTCAAATTTAAATGGTATACACCAAGCAATTGGCATAACCACGAAAGAGAAGATACGAAGTCGTTTGGAGTGGTCTCGTGTGGTCATTCAGGAAGTGTGTCGATAGATCAAGTGATGTCCAGAACTGGCCACTCGATCACAAATGAATTATTGGTGGGCATGGCAATTCGCCCAACGGACATAATTTATGATGGAGAGATACCGATTGTCAAGACAAAGTTGATGACATGTGTGCATGGGATATCACAGGAATCGACTGTGGCCGATCTGCCAATACTCCCACAAGTACAGTAGCTGAATCGATTTGTGGGTTGGTGGGTACAACTGACCACAAAGGGGACGCCCCCATTCGTTGTTTGGTTAAGCACAAAACATGTGAAGAAAATCAAGGGAATTTGTTTTCGCGGTATTGATACTCTCGCTTTGGATGCGGTTGAGTCCGTGGTTGTGTTAGACCAGCGTACTATTCCTCACGATGAAAATATAGCATGCGAATATGCTGGTCTATGTATTGTGGACGCAACGACTGGTTGTGAAGTTACCAGAACTGATGTTCTTTTGGCACCATTGCCGGCGATGGAAGAGCTGGTGCAGCTCGAGGAAGTCACTAACGATGACTTCCTTCACAACCTCAAGTTTGATGACATTGATGAGGTCGTGTTGCTATATTCGAAGGTCGACTCAACGGAGCTACGCTTATCATTAGTTATGGATGATTCGGTTCTCATGGTACTTCAACAGCGTGTGGAGTCACTCAGACGATCTGCTGTTTTGAAATATCCAACTGATTCTTATTACTCAGTTGTTATGGAGCACAAGGATGTCGGCTTTAGTGCGAACCTGCCTTCTGGTCTTCCACCCGAACGTGGGATTCGGCACCAAATTGATCGTGAACCTGGTTCAAAGCATGCAGTGCTCCGAGAGTGGCTACTATCGCGTGATCAAAGTGAGTTTATCGATAAGCTCTTTGCTCAAAGCAAGCTGCTGATCTGGTGAGGGAGAGCAAGTCCCCTCACAGAGCACCGACGTTTTGTGTGCGTGAACCAAATGGTACATTGTAACGGGGTTACACGTACCTTGGTAACAGGGGTGTGTGTGTCACACGATATGTGCAGGGTGTAACTGAACCCAAAAAAGAATACGGTATTTCGCTAGGTAGCCAGTAGTTATGCATGCATTTAGATTTTAATGTATATATATAGTATATTTAGGAAAATCTAGACTTTTAAAATAAGGATGAAAAAATAAACAAAGTCAGTTTTGGACTTTAAAACAAAGAGTCAAATAGCCTTGGGAAGGCAATAATTACTCTTGGAGTAAGCGGATTGCGATCCGCTAACTCATACTTGGTTCTTGTAGAGATCGAAAGGTCAGTGACCGAAAGTACGCTACCTCAAGCGTTTTGCTACGGCAGCCCCGCGACACTTGGTAGCACTTGTAGTCAATCTACACTTGAGTCGTTCAGACCGATCCTCTGTGAGGATGGAGGAATTTTCCTCTTTGCCCCAGGGCATACAGGATGGGCTTAACAAGCTGATGTCCTTGCTTGGCCCTGAGGTCGTGCAACACCTTGTAGCGCAAGGTCCCGAGGCAACCGGTGCACGTCTAGAGGCGTTTTCAAGTTACGAAAATTTGCTGCTTGAGCACCTGCAGCAGAAGATGTCTGCATCATTAGCGTCTATGACGCAACCGTCAGTGACGGATGATTTCCCCACCTTAAGCCGCATATGGTGAACGTTAAGGTCTTTGAGGGGAGGGACGTAGAGAATCTCCTGCTTCAGGTGAGAACGATCGAGATGGCCATTGTATCCGCCATGCTTCAGACCGAGCAACAGCGCGTAGCGCTAGCCAC